ATGTAATCAGTATTTCGTTTTCTACCAATTACCATACATAAAGCAAATCCCATTTCAACGAGCGTGTGACTTTACTTTGCAACCTTACATCAGTGATTTTATCACAGAAAATGGAAGCAGTTAAATTAACTGCCTCCGCTTGTCAGCTACACGAATTAAAAACTGTTTCTGGTACCGACATCAAAAGCACCTTTCCAGTGGCATCTGAATTTTCAATGATAAATTGTTACTTAATTATATCGCTAATCAATGTCTGCGACCTGATGTAAAGTTAAAATACTGCGTGCAGTAATTGCAAAAGCTAATGTATAATTAAATTCATGGCAAACATACTCAGTTTAAGGTAGACAGTATGAAATATTAATTGAAAATTTTCAAATTGATTATGAGGGAAATTCTTAATGAAGACAGAAATAAATTGAAATTTCATCATCGAATTTGTGAATAATATTTTTAAACATTTTCTATTGATACAGGATTCGATTATAATATCTTTATGAAAATAATTCTTCAATAAAATAATAGTTTCGTCTACCAAAGTGTTCCAGTTTAGACTCAACGTAAAATATCTGATGAATTGTATTCGCATTTCAATGCGCACGAAGCGAGAAAAGTGTCGAAAGGGAAAGAAAATCTTGGCACGTGATTTTTCCAAACAAGGTATTTTCCACCCGTTTAAGGCAACAGTTCGGCGCCAGAGATTGAAACAGAAGTGAAAACGTTCGCGCCGGTAATGAGATCCAGAAAATCCCAAACGTGTCCGCAATTTTCCCCGCCAACCCTTGAACTGCGGTAACGTTCGATCCGAAGGCTCCCGACTACTTTTAACTGGAATTAAATATCACTCTCGTTCTCGACTCTCGATTGCACAAAGCCCCAGCGGTGACTATATAATTATCCGAATAGCACGTCACGGGAAGGTAGCCTGCGGCCTCCTCGGCAACGTGAATTCTCATTTCCTTTGTACGGCGATCCACCAATGGATTTTTCACATCCACCTGATATCCACTTCGCCTAACGCCACGCTTCGTTCCGGTAAATTGATTTGTATTCAATCCCTCCTCCTCCGGAGTTGCCTCTGACCAGAATTAACGTTACCAATTCTGACTAATGAGTGGTTCACGAGCAGACGAAATGCTAGGTTCTTCGTATCTTCTTGCTGGTGCAATGGAAGTTTATCCAAAGGTTTCGGAGTGAATGCTACTGCAGACTTCACAGCTTTTGAGATCGTTAATGAATGCCCCACTGAGGAACTGTTTCCCTCGCGAAGAATCTTTTTATTTGCACGATCTCAATGCTCTGGTGATCGTGGTAACGATAAACTTCGGTGATCTACTGATTCGAGTCTATTATTCGGCGATAAATAGTAATGTAATGGTTTTGGTAATTTTGGTAATGTTGGCTGATTGCAGGGGTGCAATTCGGGGGTGTAAGCATTTATGGGACTTTTTTAATAGGTTCTGTCGAAGCAGATGAAATGGTGCTTTTGTAACAAGATCCAATGAGAATAGATGAAGAATAGATAAAAGTTCTTGGAAATAAAATGTTTGATGTGGGTATAATTTGTTAGAAATGAAAACAATTATTCTAGTGTAACTTTGCTGTCCTCTGATAGTTAGCTGTCATGTATAATTATTATCCATGATAGGTTTTAGTAAATGTATGCCATCTATGTATACGATTTGGATAACATTTACTAATACCATTATAAAACTCACAGATATTTACATAAATATGTACCTACCATCCAGTGCCTCTTAGGCTCACACATAAAAGCTCCCCTCATAAAACAAAATTTGTCTTCATTATCGCGAACGTGTTCCTCAGTCTCTAAATAAGCGGTTCCAAGGTGATGAAATATAACGCGATTGCAGTTTCCAAATTTCCAACGAGCGACTGCCAGCTCAAAGGGTTAATTTTTCCCTCGAGTTCCTTCTCTAATTGTTTGCCCTTGCCTTCTGGAACGAAGCTTTCGGATGCGACCCGGATTCGCCCGATTAAGCGGCCAATAAAAAATAAAAAACGAATCGAAAGGGCAGAGAAGGTGGGAAAAAAAGGGCAAAACGGACGAGGAATCGAGCAACTTAAGGGAACCGGACCGACGCGCAATTATCGAAACTGGGTCGAGCCACTCTCGAATATTACCGTTTGGCCGAGCACCGAGACAACTCGATGGAAAAGTTCACGCGATTACAAATACAGCGACAACGAGGAGGCGTCGTTGCCAAATTCCGAGCTGCCCTCGGGGCAAGAAACGGCGAAGTTTGATTAAACTTCCGTATCGGTTTTAACTCGCGGACAGAGGCGTCGCGGAATTAATGCGTTTTGTTTCCTAGCGCGAAACTTTTCGCCTCTGCTCGCAGCCGGAATTGCGCGAGTCGTCGCGAGATTATTTTTGAATGAGTTTTTGGACGGACGAAACTATGCGATTTGTGTCGCGAGAGCCCGAGAGCCCCGCGAAATCGCGATTCGGAATCGTCTCAGCTATCTCCCATTTCCGGTTCTTACAATAATTCTGAGACACCGTGTATATGCGTACCCTCTACGTCTATTGAAGGAATTTTGTTAAATTAAATGATGGGTTCGATGTTACCAAATAAATTTCCTATAATAAATATGTACATAAATAGATTTTACATGTGCGTGTATCTATAATGAAAAGTTTATTTGGAAACATCAACAATGGCATTTAATTTAAGCAAACTTCTTTGACAAACACAGAGGGTACGAATATTTATAGGACTGAATGTAGGAATTTTTGATAACATCGAGCATTGAATTATTTAGAATAGAAATTGGAGATTAAAATAAGTGGATTAAAATAAGGGTAGGTGGTTATAGTCGTAAGGAAAGCAATATTACATAGAATTATGTAGCAAAGGAACTGAAGCTATGTTAGAAATAACTTACTTGGTTACAAGTACGAGATACTATAATATAAAATATGTTACAGGAAAATAAAATATTTTCTCACAGGTAGTGCCAATTTCTTCTGATTTAAAATTATATTAGAAAATTATACAATTAATTTTCCTACAATTGCAGTCTGCGTAAGATAATTTTCCAGTTGAGAGCCGGAAGTACCGAGCTCTGAAGATAGCAGTTGTTGTGGTCGAGTTTGCGACATTTCGGCCAATGGGGACGTGTCGAGAAGGACCAGTGTTACTCGTGCCATGTCGGGCCATCGGATTAATCGGACTAATTACCTGATGCAATTATCCTGAATTAATCGAGATAAACCGCTTAATTATCGCCGTCGCACTACATTCGTTGTTTCTCAATCCGGCACTCTCGTTGACTTTGAACTACTCCGAAATAAACCAATCTGGCTGCCAGTCTTCATCGCGGCGCTGGTATCTCGTCAAAATCGATATTCCCCGCAGTAATAGCGCATAGAGCGATTGAATTTCAAATTTCATGTCGCAAAATCTCGTCTACGATGTTTCGGAGCTTGTGCGAGATGCTGGTGTGTGTTTGCATTAATCACAGTTTAATTGGTTGTCGAATACTATTAAAAAAGGTCCTGCTAAGAAGAACTTTTTTATATTCCAGCGCGTAATATATTGTTTCATTCTTCCGAGGGTTCGAATGGATCAAACAGTAAATACACGAGCGTTCGATATTTGGTTTAATAAAATAAAATTCACGTAGCGGTGGGTTAATCGCCACGCACTTGGATCGGGCAAATAATGGTGGAATGGAATTATTTAGGCGTTGGCTCGTTACGCGACAGAAACAAGTTCCAGCGTTCAGTTTTTGGTAGTTGTCGGTTAACGTTACTGGCTGCGCGCTGCTGCATTTGGCCAATTAAGATTTACGCGTTTCCAGCAATGACGGTCCGACACGACGATACTGTACGGTTCGACAGTTTCCTGAATTTATCGTTTTATCGTTTGTTCCTACGGTCGGCGATACCGCACAGAACGACACGTTGCTTTTCTGGAGCGGATTTATTCGCTGTCGGGACAGAACGTTCTGTGCGCCATAAAGGGATGCGATAGTAACGCATTTTTTAACATTCATACGCGACAAATTTTTCACGTACTGATTTACGCTCCTGAACACCTCGTAGAGTCTTCATTTGGTGCTTTCAAAACCGTCGAATACTTCATCGGAAACGTTGAATAATTTGGGAGGGGATTGCACGCCAGTATGAATCGTTTATTAATCGATTTATGGCATTAGCTTTTCGAACATGTCTCCATATGTTCTGTTTCAGTATTGGGAAATATGAAATTTACTGTTTATCACCCTCTATTAGATTAATCGCAAGTATGTAATATTCGCACCTCCCATACCCAACAATAAGAAGTCAAACGAGAACACGAAACATAGGGCACGGGATTGGTCGCGTAGGTAAAGTGGTCGACTGTGGATCCGAGGATCGTGGATTCGAATCTCCATGCCTTATTATTAGGACTTTATAGTGATTACAAGGAAAATGAGACGAATAACTTTTTAACTCTGTCACCTTAAAGTCGATTTCTCAGTAGCAGGTTTAAGAAACGAGCAGGATTGGTTAAAACGGACTGTAAACCGAAGCAGTTTTACTTCCTCGTAAAATCAGTCCATCGCCATAAATTGACGATACTAATCTCGAGAAAATCCCATGAAAGGTTTTACGTCACGTCGTTTTTCTCGTTTGACGTAACCCTACTCTACGACATTGGACGTTTATAACCGCAGCAATCTCCCGCACGTTTCGGGATCGCTTTCCAATTCCTTATAGACCGCTGAAAAAGTTTTTAGTTTATGTCCATGTCTCTTGATTGAGAATTATCCATTGCTCGTTACGCTGGCACTAGGAAATTACCAATAAATCAGAAGTTAAGTATTGCATTATGCAAGAATTTTCGACGTGAACTTTGAAGACGTATCTATTTCTACGATCTGTACACTCCTACACTTTTTACTTTAGAAAATTATAATCAACCCTTTTTAATGTTCTAACACGTGTTAATTAATTTCACTGACCTCAGAATTTTCCTTCACTGTTACAGAGCAACCGTAGCCAGCCAGCCATTGGCCTGAAGGAGATGCCGAAGGTGCGGGTAAGTTTTTCCACAAGTGTGCTCAACGCTTCCGTCATCGGTGTCTTGCACCGTTAGGTTTTGCGACACAAAGACCAAATTCAAATAGGGTGTCCGTAGCAACGATCTAGCTCCAAACTAGTTACCAAGAGCTCGTTAGAGGCCCGATCGATGCCCACGACCGAGTTTCCCGTACTTTTGGCCAAACAACTTTTCAACCCGCCCCTTCCACGGGTTGCTTCTGCTTCTTCGAGCTCGCAGCAGGAAGTTGAAATAGGCGAACGCACCCCTTTCTCTCTTCGTTCGATATATATATATATATATCACTGGTGTTCAGCCAACCACGAAATCGCCCCACGAGGAGAGGGGCTGAGCATAATTTTACGACCATAGTTTTCACGGGAGCGGGATCTCCGTGTTTGCTCGCCGATGTTTGCTCGAGAAAGTATCGAGCAGACGATGTCATAGTCGACGATGTTCCCGTATAATTTACGAGCACGGAATCGCGTGTCGTGGATTGCCATTTTCGAGAGATGAGGATATTGGTCTCCAGTTTCGCACGCGTCGATTCGTTTATGGTTTCTTAACACGTGAGCTGCATCGAGTGCGTACATGTTATGAGCGTTCTTTTTGTGATGAAGTGGGCTACTTTGCTTTCAGGGGATGGGAAAAATCTTGCTCGGTTCTAGAGGGAATGCGAATAATGTTTTGGATCTATCAATTTGGAAATATCAGTTTGGATATATCAATTTTAATTGCAATCTCGAAGTTTCATAACTGAACTAGGAAATTAGTAGAGTACACTTACAACGTTTGAAGCTAAACTGTTGTATCCGAATATCCCGAAGATTTAATGACTGTTCGATTGACTGCGAATGACTGAATTCGACGTACATCAATTACGATAGTCTGGCTGTGGTCGTAGAACCGCGTCATGTAATTCGAAATTAATTCCTGAGTAAGCAATTCGTACGTCCATCAAATTGGTAACTTAATATTGACGAGTTATCGATTATTATTAATTACCATTGTTTGCTATTGCACTCGTGCGCGTAATGCTGTGCCACATGTGTATATAGTAATGTGCGGAATTATAATAGACCATTAATTAGGTGTGCTTCTAGTGCGTCCATCGGGGAAGCCTGTCAGGTATTAATATTGATGCTTTTTGGAATACATAGATCGAATCGAGGAGGTGGCATGGAATCCTCGAGGAATTTGCATTCGTAGATCAACTCTGTCAATGTGTTTGATGAAAATCCTGAATTTTGAAATTGCCTTCGATATTCTCAATTTTTAAACAAATATTATCGAAGTAATACAACCTTTTGTCGCGTGTTTTATTTGGAGTTTAGTATACATAATTTAATATAAAAATAAAAATTACAATCACTACAGTGGTAAGTACTGATTTAAATAGAATTAAAAAAAGATCAATAGTGTCTTTAATTTTTTTTTACTAAACATATGAGCTCGTATCAAAAAACGATCTCAAACTACATTCCATTGCGCACAGTGCTCGAAGCTATCAAAATAATTGTGATCGCAGGTTTCCTCGTTCGCGATCCGCCTAATTTAAAGTACCTACTCCCCCCATCGGTTTCGAGGTTATCATTCAACGTCGGCGTATCGCTGAAAATAACGACCGCCCACGCTTCATTGAGTTAAAACAAAAAAGCAGAAATTTACAAATTACTCCACATAACAGCGGAACGCTGACACCGATTGTATCGACTTCGGCGAATTTGCTCGCTCAAATCCCGTGTCAGTAATTTCGTCCCGCGTTTTAAATTAAAATGCGATTCGTGCACGCTGCGAGGCGAAGCTTGCGTCAATCGTTCGCAAAATTCTATTATTGGCGCGTCGACGGTGTATCGGAGCAACGTTCGTAAATATTAACGATGTAAAAATTCGACGCGTTCCATCGAACCGGTAATAACGTTCGTCGCATTCGATCAAACGGCGCGCAGCGACGATTTCGTTTCCAATAAAAATCAACGTTTCCGCGGCGCCCTTGCGCGCAACGCTATGTAAATTTCTGTCCGTGTGAGTGACAGCTAGCACGAGTGCAGCGAGAATGCATACGAACGAGCAAAACCACCGAATGACACACGTACACACACATAGACTGATCTAACCATCTACGCACGCTTGGCTTTTAATTCCTACTGGGCCTACTTTTTTTCACGAAACAAATGGGAACTGGGTGAGAACAAAGAGCTAAATGTTAGGAATCCTGCGATCTCTGCCGTTGGAAAAATTGCTGGGAAAACTAAATAGATCCGAGATTCGCTTGTGAAACCACTGATGACTCGATTCAGTGGCAGGGTAATAATATTTGGGATAAGTTTGCAGTAATTATTCAGAATATTCTTTTGCTCAGTATGTATGACCCAGTATTATGCCTCATATACATGTACACTCTTTTGTCGGGCATAGAAATTATTCAGTAATTATTTAGAATATTCTTCAATATTCTGCTGAGTATGTGTGCGACAGCATTATGGCTCATATATACTAATTTGTCGAGTTCGGAACTATACTCAAAATATCCTGAATAATACTGAAAATCTCAAGAACTCAAGATTATGTAATAAATGAAATAACATTGACAGAACTCAATAAACGGTTCATCAATCCTAATTTCTAATAATTAAATTCCATTAATCAATCGATCTCAATAAACCAACTGCGATCGTTCATGCTCCCATTAATGCAACGACACCACGCTGACTGGAACCGTTTAATATAAAATACGCCTTCGTATCCAAGGTCGTCGTTGTTTAATGCATCGAAATCGTTAGTCAGCTACGGGTAACGGTTGCGCGACGGGGATTAACCCGAATCACTTTTCCTCCTTCGCTCGTTAAGCTCTCCTCGGGACGGGATCATGTTGCGATTGTTATTCTGTTTCGCCTTCTTCGCGTTTCCCCTGGTCGTCGGTGCAAATGAAACTCGAAGGATTCGGGGCTACGGGAACGACGGGAACGCGAATAGTAACGTCTGCGAAACGACGTGAAATCGCGCGGCGCAATTTCGTGAGATTGCTTGCCGAGGCGACTCGTCGGAAGGACCATCCTCGTGGAAAAGAGCTTCTTGGAGGCACGAGGGTGCTCGTATTCTCCTCCCCCCTCCACCCTCCTCATCTCCCTTCGTACTCGCGAAAAGGAAATGCGACCTTCCTTTTAGGGGAAGGAAATGTGCAACGGTTTCTATGATAGTCTGTCAAATGCAACTCGCGTCTCGCTATGCGTTGTCCTTAATACGCCATTCTCTGGAATGAAAGACCCAAAGAGCATCGTTTTTGGGGATCTCGAGATTTATCGCGTGGAGAATGCAATAATCTGCTTCGTTCTAAGAGTATATAGTATGTCGAACTTGTTTTTAGAATTACTCGTTTGATAGTAGTGTTCTTCCTTGGAATTTTTGGGTGAGACTTACTGAAACAGGGAACTAATTAGTGACTTCATTCGTCTTTTCTCATTTTCATTAAATAAATGTAATAGTTTATGTAATGAATATACATAGATCTGTATCAATCATAAATTTATACGAATCCCCGAGTTAAATAATGTTCCTCTAGTTAGTTTTGTTACTTCTTCAACTCGAAACATTGTTCAACATGTGTCAGGAAAAAGGAAGCATTTTTATGAGAAATATTTTATAAGAAGCCTGTATTTTGTTGAACTTCTGCTCAAACTCCTTCTTTTTCTTCGAGAAGATATCCGTTCTTGCGGTACTTTCATTAAAATCAACTTTTACCTTGACACCTTTTTTCAGAAACTTTTCTCTTGGAGCAATAATAAATTTCTTATAATGAAAGTTTCATAGTAAGTTCACTAAAGCAGACAAGAAAATAATAGAATTTTATTATAATTTTCACTTGTAGATTGATATACGTATTTTACAAGAAGGCTTGAAGTTTAAGTACGAAACAGTCTCAACTTGTTGGTTAATTTTATTCGGGTTAAGCAACTAATTCGAGCCACGATATTATTCCACGCTAAGACCCGAGAACGCACACATTGGCGCAATGAACAACGCGCATATTTTACGACGCATTAGAAACCCCCATTTTACACATCGCTACACTTTGGTATCTCCAAAGCAGACCGATGCACGGTGAACCGTCTGTGAATGATAACTACCATGAACTCTGCGCTAACTTAGCTGCTAGGTGGAGTGAGATTTTGCCCTGGAGGTAGCACTAACCTCCCACGAAATGCACGTAATACGAGAAACAGGCGTCTACTGCAGTATGGCGGACCGTACACATTTCTAATACCTATTTATATGCTAATAACTCACGATGGGTATCTCGCAATCGAAATTGTCATCGTACGGTTTTCGACGCTGCTATACCATAACGATCGGTGGAGATAGTTTGACATATATTTCGAACTGCATCGAGGAATTTGACGTTTAAGAATTAACCTAATAAAAGGGAAAAATCTAAAATTTAAAGTATAAGTTAATTGTGTAACCTGAAGAGATAAAAAAGATTCATTTGAAATGGCTTTTCCCTGAAAATTCAGAGTTTTTTTAAACTCTCTGCGACATAATTTATATTCGATCGAATTTTATGTACCGCTTAATTTCCATTCTGCCATTCCGCACGACCGAAAATGGGTAGAAAAGCTTTTACCCTGAATCGATCCATTAAACAAATTTTCCCGCGCCACATAACAGATGGTTAGTGAAAGCTTATTCATTCTTCGATGCAAATACGTTAATTTGACTTTCTGTTACTGGATCCGTTTCCAATACTTTAAACAAAGAGTACTTCCCAATTTTGTACTTCTCGAAAATTCATAAAATTATTTCACCATATCAATAATCACGACTGATTACGTTCTTATTTTATTAAAGATATTTTCAAAAAAATATTACGTCTAAAATGACTCCAAAATTAAATATGTATCATTATTCATATTATAAACTGATCAACGGTTCACGAAATAAATTTTTCCCCAGTTGTTTGTGGTATATTTAACTATACATCAATTGCTGTATCTTTAACA